CTAAGTCCTCAAGTAATTGACATTTCTACCCTGGTAAAATGACTCTGACTCTGATTATGCATTCTATCCATGCTGCTCATAATTTTGTAAACTTCTATCAGGTTGCCCCTCATCCTTTGACATTAAAGTGAAAACAAACCAAGTTTGTCCAATTTCTCTCAAACCTAATACCTTCCAAACCGGGCAACATCGTGATAAACCATTTCTGTACCCTTTCCAAAACCTCCACATCTTTCTGGTAGTGTGGCAATCTGAACTGTACATAATATTCCAAATGTGGCCTAACCAAAGTTCTGTACAGCTGCAATATGACTTGCTAATTTTTACGCTCTATGCTCCAACCAATGAAGGCAAGCAAACCATCTGCCTTCTTGACTACCTTATCATGAGTGTTGCCACTTTCAGCCAACTGTGAACCTGTACACCTAGATCCCTCTGTATGTTGATACTACTAAGGGTTCTGCTGATTATCACTTACACTTGGTTTTTATTCCGTCAAGTGATGTGGGTGTTGCTGACAATGCCAGCATTAGCTGCCCATCCCTAAACTGGCACTGAGAATAGACTGATAATCCACGCTTTCTTGTAAAACTAATCCTCATTATTGTTCATTGCAAGATCTATCTGGTAGATTTGCTACCAGCACTGTTTTTTCTGATAGGTCCAGCTTAGTCTAGTGTGGTAGAGAAAGACCACTTGGTAGTCTAACAAAAAGCCATAAATTTCAGTGAGTCTAATGATGACCATGAATTCATTGATTGTCAGAAAAACCCATCTGGTTCACTAATGTCCTTTAGGGAAGGAAACTGCCATCCTTACCTGGTCTGGCCTACATGTGACTCCAGACTCTCAGCAATGTGGTTGACTCTTAACTGCTCTCTGGGCAATTTGGGATGGGTAATAAATGTTGGCCTAGTCAGCAATGCCTTCATCCCATGAATGAATGAATAAAGAAAAAAAAAATTGCATGATGATAGCAAGTGTATGAGTTACATGATAGGCATTGTTACAGAGAGTATGAGTGAGACCTGGATGATAAATCTTATTTATTTCAGATCCTAAGCTGTCATCCCACAAGTGCTATGACTTCATCATAGTGGGTGATTCTTAATGCACTTCTCAGCATGAACTTTTACAGACCCTTTTCTAATATTCTTGTCTAATATTCCTGAGCTGCTGTGGTCCTCAGAGTGTAGGTACATACACAACGCTGAGAAGGAGGGAGTTTCAGGTTTGTGACCCAGCAACAGCAGTACAATCCCACCTTAGAATGGTCTGTGCCTTGGAGGGGAGCTTGTAGTTGGTGGTGTTCACATGTATCCTGCTGCCCTTGTCCTTTAAAGTGCTGTCAAAGGAGCCTTGGTATATCACTGAGCCACATAATGAGTTATCAGGAGAGATACCCAAAATTCTTGATAAAGAGGTAGATTTTAAGGAGCAGATATGGAAAGATGGAGAAGTTTAGGGAAAGAATTTCAGATCTTAGGACCAGGCAGTTAAAGGTACGGCCGCCAACAATGGGCTAAAGGTAAATTAGGAATGCTCAAGTGGCCAAAGTTAGAGGAGCTCAGAGTTCTTGAGGGTTGTGGGGCTGAAATAAAACAGTGAAAGAAACACTGTATTGTGGAACCAGTTAAGGGTAAAAATGCAATTATCCTGCTGTATTTTCAAGGCCAGAGTGATGAAACTACCTCATTGAAGAAGAGAAAATTCTTTCCCTAATCTCAAAAAAGTAGGAGAGAGCTCACTATAATATCTGTGGCTACAAATTTAAACTGGACAATGATTGAAATAAGAAAATCTAATTCTCCCTCCTTTTGAGTTTCCAACCAAACTTTAATGTTGGTTTTTTGACCATCATTGTAGTGTCTCTCACAGAAGATGCACAGCAGCTGCAAAGGGCATTTGTTCACCACAATCACTTGGAGGGTGTAAAGTGCCTTTCTTGATACTTTTTTTTATATTATTAGATCTTTTCTGTTTAAATTCTTACAATTATTACTCATCCCTAATTCAATATCTCCAATAAAAATCAAAAGAACTGCGGATGCTGTAAATCAGGAACAAAAACAAAGTTGCTGGAAAAGCTCAGCAGGTCTGGCAGCATCTGTGAAGAAAAACATCAGAGTTAACGTTTTGGGTCCAGTGACCCTTCCTAAGTTCTGAGCTGCTGAGCTTTTCCAGCAACTTTGTTTTTGTTCTCAATATCTCAAATATACATTATCCAGTCATTATCATATTGTGGTATGTGGGACCTTCCTTTCATCATAGAATACCTACAGTGTGGAAGCAGGCTATTCAGCCCATCACATCCATACTGACCTTCCAAACAGTATCCCACCCTTGGCCAATCCACCTTGCCTGCACATACCTGGATACTATAGGTAATTTAGCATGGCCAATCTACCTAACATGCACATCTTTGGACTGTGGAAGGAAACCAGAGCACCTGGAGTAAACCCACCTGGGGACAAAGTGCAAACTCCACACAGACAGTCACCCAACTGTGGGATTGAACCCAGTCCCTATAAGGTAGCAATGCTAACCACTGAGCCACCGTGTCATATTCCTATGAACAAATTGATTACCACATTTCCCCAATACCACACAGAGACTATAAGTTCACTCTCTGGCTGTGAAGTACTGTGGGGCATTCTAAGGTAACAAAATGTGTATAGAAATAGAAGTTCTTTCACTCTATTTTTGCCTGCAGTTTTCAAACATCACAAACACTCCAGAATAAGGTACTGAGTAAGGCTGTTAATCCATCTCTGACCACTACCCAATTTTCCCTGTAATTGGCTAATGGGAGGTGTTGGTAGTTTATTCCTCCCACAATCTGTTATTGCATAATGCTTCATCTCAATCGTATTCTTACAACTTGTCAATGTCTGCAGTGACAATCTAGAGAAAATTATGGAAATTTGTGTATTGCTGGTTAGGCTTCAACTGGACTAATTGTCTTGTTTTGTGCACCACATCTCAGAAAGGTTGTTAAGGCACTAGGTAAATTACAAAGGAGAGTTACCAGGAATGTACTGGAAATGAAGGAATGGAGAAGCTAGCATTTGTTTTCCTTGGGGCAGAGGAGGGTAAAAGGGGAATTTAATTGAGGCATTCAAAACCATGAAGGGTTGTGAAGGAGTAAATAAGGAGAAACTTTCTCATGTGGCCAAAGGATTGTCAGCCAAAGAAGATTTAAGAAATTAGTAAAAGAACCTAAGGGGAAAAAGAGGAGTTTTTTTTTAACACAGCAATTTGTGATCTGGAATGCACAGCCTGATAAGGCAGTGGAAGCAGATTCAATAATGACTTTCAGCAGGGAGTTGGATAAGTATTTGAGGCGGAAATATTTTCAGGGAAACCATGAAAAAACAGTAGAATGAGAATGAGGATAATTGGTGAGGCCACATTTGGAATGTACAGTTTAGTACCCTGCTATAAGGACGATATTATTAAACTGGAGAGGGTGCAAAAACAATTTACCAGGATGTCACAGGGACTGCAGTGTTTGAGTTATAAGGAGTGACTGGATAGGCTGGGACTTTTTTCACTGGAGCGTAGGAGGTTGAGGGGTGACCTTACAGAAGTTTATAAAATCATGAGGGACATAGTTATGGTGAATAGCAAAGGTCTTTTCCCTAGGGTAGGGGTGTTCAAAACTGGAGAGCATAATTTTAAGGTGAGTGTAGAAAGATTTAAAAGGGACCTGAGAGTCGAATTTTTTTTTTTTCCACATACAGGGTGGTGCATGTATGGAATGAGCTGCCAGAGGAAGTGGTAATGCAGGTAGAATTGCAACATTTATAGACTTTTGGAAGGTACATGAATGGGAAAGGTTTAGAGGGATATGGGCCAAGCACAGGCAAACGGCACTAGTTTAGTTTGGGAAACTTGGTTCGCATGGACAAGTTGGACGAAAGGGTCTGTTTCCATGCAGTATGACTCTATAATATCTTCAACATCCAGTACAAGCATGATGGGCTGAATGGCCTCCTTCTATGATTCAAATAACTTTTAATGTTATTACTTTTTCCATCCCTATACCAAAGGTTTGATTCCTTTCCCTCACTGTCCTGGGGGGAAAGGGATGGATTTGAGCCAGTTCAGTAAGTTTGTGAGAAGGAGGTGCAAACCTTCAGGGGTAAAAGCATTTGAACTGCAAAGCTTCAAGACTTGATTGATCCATCTATAAAGCAAGCTAAGGTAGCAATGGCATCTTCAGTGCCTCTGCAGCAGTGAGTTGAGTTTGCTTGATAGAATAGAATAAGCCCGTAATCTTTACAGTTTAGAAGAAGGGAGTAATCTCATTGAAACATATGAAATTCATAGAAGACATGACAGGCTTGACGTTGAAAAGCTGTTTCCCCTCAGTGTGGCATCCAGGACACAGGGTCACAGTCTCACAATAAGTGGTCAGCCATTAAGGACTGGGATAAGGGGAAATGTCTTCATTCAAAAGTATTTGAATCTTTGGAATTTTCTACTCTAGAGAACTGCGGATGGTCAGCTAATGAATATGTTCAAGACCAGAGATTGTTAGATTTTTGGACAACAAGGGGTATCAGGACGGAACTTAAAAATTGAGAAAGAAAATCAACATGTGATCTAACTGAATGATGAACCAGGCTCAAGGCAGTGCGGCTTACTCCTGCCGCTACTTCTTCTGACTTTGTGTTCCTGTTGAATACAGACAGCTTGATTGTAATGCTTAGGTGTATTAATATTGTGTTCCTTGCAGTGAGCATTATACTGAATTTTATAGACTAGAAACAGGCAATATGACCAATCTTAACAAGCCACCTTCCAACCTTTTCATCTTACTCATTCAACATATGCTTCCATTCTCTTCTCCCTCATGTGCTTATCTAACTTTCCCCTAAATGCAACTAGTTTATTAATCTTAAGTACTTGATATGGTAATAAGGTTCCCCTTCCCACCAGTCTCTGGGTAAAGAGGGTTATGTTATTTTCTTTATTCATTTTTTTCTGCTTCACAGTGACATCGAAGGCTTCACACAGCTATCGAGTACAAGTACACCATATCAAGTTGTGGAATTGTTAAACAAATTATATACAACATTCGATGAAATTATTGACAATTATGATGTCTACAAAGTTGAAACTATAGGAGATGCGTGTAAGTATTGCTTATAGAGTTTCGAAAAAAATCGATGCCATTAATTGTTTCTTTTGTAGAACTTAATTTATATAGATAAAAGCAAAACACTACGAGATCTGAAATAAAACAAGACAAAGTGCTGAAGAAACTCAACAGGTCCAGCAGCATTTGAAAGAAGCGTCAGTGCACTCAGAACATTTTATTCTGGTTTTCTCTCCACAGATGCTGCAAGACCTGCTCAGTTTCTCCAGCACTTCGTTTTCATTTCTGTAGAGTTCCTTTACAGAGCAAAACATCCCCAGGCCCTTCACAAGAGCATTGTCAAACAAATTTGACGCCAAGTCTTCATAAGGAGATATTAATACTAGGGCAAAAAACTGAGCCAAGAATGTAGGTTTCAAGGGGCATATTGAAGGGGGACAAGAAGGGGAGAAGAGAAGAGGTTTAGGGACGGAATTGCAGAGCTTAGAGCCTGGCCAGCTAATGGTGGAGTAACAAAAATGCCAGATGCCAGGGACCCAGTTTCTCGGAGTTATAGGGGAGGAGGTGGTTGCAGAGAAAGGGATGGGTGAGCAGTGAAGCATTGGGAAGATTCATAAATAAGCATACAATAACCATCAAAAAGACATTGGTCAAATCTTGAATGAATAGTTGTGTTGGTAAAATATACTGCCAACCATTCAGAAATTAAAAGATTAATCTGCTGTGTGCAACCACGGAACAAAATACCCTATAAACCTCATCAACCAGAGATCTGCTGTTCAGAAACATTAGTTTTCCAGAAAGTTTTCAAGAAGGTTTAAGCAACTCACAATAATTTAGTCCAGTAGTTTTGAGAAGGGAAACAAGGAAGAAACAATATTTGGATATGTAGAGCAATGTTTGCTTCTGCCTTATAATGGTTTGTCACTGCTTTACGTTGGTTTAAATATTCATGTACACCGTTTTCTGCTTCACACACTTTTGGTTAGGCTTTCTAACATCATTCCATATTGCAGGAATTTCCAATGTCCCGAAATAATTGACCCTAAGCATCTCAGACTGGGTGGTCAGTGCAGAAAAAAAAGTTTTTTTTTGTTTTTCTCTAAATATTTTTGTGTCTTGGTTACAAAAATATTGGAAATATAAAAAGATTGTTGTTGAGTAGGAAGCAGCACAGTGGCTCAGTGGTCAGCACTGCTGCCTCACAGTGCCAGGAACCCAGGTTTAATTCCAGCCTTGGGTGGCTGCAAGGAGTTTGCACATTCTCCCTGTATTTGTGCAGGTTTCCTCTGATTACTCCAGTTTCCTCCCACAGTCCAAAGATGGATTGACCATGCTAAATTACCCCATAGTGTCCAGGGATGTGCAGGTTAGGTAGGTTAGCCATGGTAAATGTGGGTTGTGGGAACAGTGTAGGGACTGTGTCTGAGTGAGATGCTGTTTGGAGAGTTGGTGCAGACTCGATGGGCCAAGTGGCCTCTTTCTGCACTGTAGGGATTCCATGATTCTAAAATGTTTGGAGATTTGAAATCATTGTAGCATATTGAAAAATGCGCCGTGAATATTGCTCACTTGAGGCTACAATGTATGTATTCAAAATGCTATGTACAAATTGCAGAAGTGCAATTCTACTCCTAAAGCCTCTGGCTGAATATGCAACTGTTTCTGTAAAAGATCTTCAAAATCATTTGGTCATTTGATAAGACTAGAGTTAGCAATTCTATCACAAAATGGTTAGTGATTTAAACTTTTGATGTAGCTAAATGGATAAATATGGTCACAATATCTGGACAAGAATCAAAGGTGAATCCAGGGTTTGATTTATTATTCATTTACATCCTGTTGTGACCTACATGAGGACTAGAGTTATGCTTCGGTCCATTCAGACAGCATTCCAGTCCAGCCCAATCCAATGTCCCCCACCAAACTGATAGCCAGGTAAACATTGTTGGAAGAGGTTCATTTGTGGTGGGAGAAGGGATCAGCTGAAGTACCACCACTTCTGCTCCCTCTATCGGACTTCCCGTGGTAAAACCAAGTGGAGCAATGATGTAAACACAGCATAGGCCCCAAATTCCAGTCTCACCATTGTCCCTGTCCCTGAACGCTGATCGAAGGAGAAGCAGAATTTCTGAGTCCCTAATTTTTTTCAAAAAAATTACAAATTCAACAAGAAAAGTTTGAAGCTTGGAAAAGTGCTAAGTAGCCTGATGGACTTTTCTTTCGGCAGATATGGTAGTTTCAGGAGTGCCAAAAGAAAATGGCATTGGTCATGCGAGTGAGATAGCAAGCATGGCTCTGGATTTGGTTGCTGTGTGTAACACTTTCAAAATTCCACACAAGCCACAGACAAAACTCAAGATCCGAGCCGGAATCCACTCAGGTAATGTAGGATACTATATCTTTTTAACATTGGTCTAGCATTCCATTGCCTCATTCTATTGCACCTTTGCACATGTATCTGCAACAAGTTGAAAGGATCATTTTTTTTTGTCTAACATTGGTGACTGCAGGGCCTGTGGTTGCTGGTGTGGTTGGGACAAAAATGCCTCGTTACTGTCTATTCGGTGACACTGTAAACACAGCTTCAAGAATGGAGTCAACAAGTCAAGGTAGACTGCATTTTATAATTGTTTATTTTCCCACAATGTTCCCAAATAATACCTTTTGAAGTCAATTGTTCCCCAACCAAATTCCAAACATGGTAATTAGGATTTGCAGCTGCGGCTTCGGCTTCAAGAGAATTTGTCAGTCTTGATTATAATTTTACCAAAAAGGACCCTCCTCCCACCTCTTTTCATCCCACCTTACCAAAATATCCTTCCATATGTAATTTGTCTTAACTTTCCCTTAAAGATATTAATGTTATTCAACCTTGGCACAATTGATATAAGGATTCAGAGGACATCAACCTGAAACATTAACTCTTCATCTGGCTCCACAGATGCTGCCTGACCTGCTGAGTATCTCCTACATCTTCTGTTTGGAGTTATAACTAAGATCGTGCTTTCTAGTGCAGGGTATGTGACAATCTCCTCCCTCAAATACCGTCACTTGAACTTGTAAGAAAGTGAAATAAGGAACAGTGGGATGTCTGGAGATGGATGAGTAGCTTTGGGGGAGGAACTCATTTGTCTACCAATTTCCAGAGTGTGTGTGTGTGTGTGTGTGTGTGTGTGTGTGTGTGTGTGTGTGTGTGGAGATGGCCAATTGATTTTTGAGTTGAACGAAAGGTGAACGGAATTACTAAAGGTGACCTGTTGACTTCTCCATATGCCTGCCCAGGACATTACCTGAGTCTCTAGATTAACAGTCCAGCGATAATACCACGAGACTATCACCTCCACATACCAGTAGGCATGCTCCAGGCATCATGTGCTTATGCCAGGGCTGATGGACACCAGCTGTCTTTTTGGACCACATGCAGAGATAAATAACCACTAGGGTAGGGAGAAGAAGGAAACAGTGGGAAAATGGCTGGCAAAAAATGTAAGTTTATAAAAATAAAACGCACTCTTAAATCCAGTTGCAGAAATGGTTTGAAGAAAATTATACATGGTTTTGGTGAGATCACAACTGGAATACTGGGTGCAGTTTTGTTCTCTATCATTTAGTAACAGTGTACTTGCATCAGAGAAAATCGACTAAATTGCTTGACCTATGATGGAAGACTGAGCAAATTCATCCTTATGTTCTCTGGAGATTAGAAGAAAAATAGGTGATTGTATCAAAACATGTAAGATTCTGAAGGGCCTTTGGATGCTGAGAGGTTGTTTCTATGGCCAGGAAATCTGAAACACAGGGACCATATTCCAGGAAACAGGGCTGACCATTGAGGACTGAACTGAGGAGAAATGACTTCAATCAAAGGGTTGCAAATCTTTGGAATTTGTGTCCTCCAGCATTGAATACAGTTTAAGGCTCAAATAATCAATTTTTAGTGTTTGAGAATGGAGGTGGAGAATAAGCTGGAAAGTGGAGTTGAAGCCCAAAATCAGCCATGATGGTATTAAATAGTGTAGTAGCCCTCAGCCATTTGGTCTCGTAGAAGATCATGGAATCCCTACAGTGTGGAAACAGGCCCTTCAGCCCAACAAGTCCACACCGACCCTTGGAGCATCCCACCCAGACCCATCCCCTATAACCCACCTAATCTACACACCCCTGAACACTACAGGCAATTTAGCATGGCCAACACACCTAACCCACACATCTTTGGACTGTGGCAGGAAACCAGAGCACCCGGAGGAAACCCACGCAGACACGGGGAGAATATGCAAACTCCATGCAGACAGTCGCCTGAGGGTGGAATTGAACCTGGGTCCCTGGCGCTGTGAGGCAGCAGCGCTAACCACTGAGCTACCGTGCCACCCGTCTACTTTTGTTTCTATTGGTGTACGATGTGAAACTGGCCAAAGTAACTAAAATGGAAAGGTTTGCAGGACTATGAAGAAAGAACAAATACAGTAGAATTTACCTGAATAAAACTTTCAAATAACTGTGAATGATCTAGTTTTACGGTGCAGGATTCTAAACAGTGAACTGTTTTGTTGCTCATGTTTTAGCACTGAAGATACAGTGCAGTTCCAGCACCAATAGTCTACTGGAGCAGATTGGAGGATATGTCTTAACATGTCGTGGCACATTACAAATAAAGGTATGTGAATCTCATTCACATTATATATTGGGTTTTAATGGAACAAACTGAAGACAAGTATCATGATGGGAGTAAAATAGGTTTTGAATTTTGTCACATTATCAAATACAATGTATGAGTCATGAGTTAATTTAATCCCCTGACCAGGCTAATAGTTCCTTGTGTCAATGTTATTTTTAATCCAAGTTCTGTGTTGGTTACACATATCTCAAAGAAGGTGAATGTAATTAGTGACAACAAGGAGCAGAGCTGGATGAACACAGCAGGTTAAGCAGCATCAAAGGAGCAGAAAGGCCTAGACCCTTCATCAGAAATGGGGGAGGGGAAGGGGGTTCTGAAATAAATAGGGAGAGAGGGGGAAGCGGATAGAAGATGGATAGAGGAGAGGATAGGTGGAGAGGGAACAAACAGGTCGAAGAGGCGGGGATGGAACCAGTAAAGGTGAGTGTAGGTGGGGAGTTAGGGAGGGGATAGGTCAGTCCAGGGAGGACGTACAGGTCAAGGGGGCGGGATGAGGTTAGTAGGTAGGAGATGGGGGTGCGGCTTGAGGTGGGAGGAGGGGATAGGTGGGAGGAAGAACAGGTTAGGGAGGCGGGGACGAGCTGGACTGGTTTTGGGATGCGGTAGGGGGAGGGGAGATTTTGAAGCTTGTGAAATCCACATTGATACCATTGGGCTGGCCGCACCCCCATCTCCTACCTACTAACCTCATCCCGTCCCCTTGACCTGTCCGTCCTCCCTGGACTGACCTATCCCCTCCCTAACTCTCCACGTACAATCACTTTCACTGGCTCCATCCCCGCCTCTTCGACCTGTTTGTTCCCTCTCCACCTATCCTCTCCTCTATCCATCTTCTATCCGCCTCCCCCTCTCTCCCTATTTATTTCAGAACCCCCTTCCCCTCCCCGATTTCTGATGAAGGGTCTAGGCCCGAAACGTCAGCCTTTCTGCTCCTATGATGCTGCTTAGCCTGCTATGTTCATCCAGCTCTGCTCCTTGTTGTCTCTGATTCTCCAGCATCTGCAGTTCCTACTATCTCTGAATGTAATTAGTGTCAGGCTGGGTATTGACTGCTCAGAATGGTTTCCATCCATTCATCCAATGTCTCAACGTGTAATCCAATACTAGGGGCTAATGATACAAAATAGCCACTCATAAATCCAACAGAGAATTCAGGAGAAATGTATTTAGTCAAAGAGTGGGGAAATTTGGAACTTGCCAAGAAAACAGGAAGTGGTTGAGTTGAATAGTACAGATGCATTTTAGAGGAAGCTAAATAATTATATGAGGAAAAGAATAGAAGGACACGGTAGTCGGAAGCTGGGGGAGAGGAAACCCCACTGGAACAGTTGGACTGGATGGTATACTCAAAGCTCAAAGCCAGAAATATATGATAGTCACTAATAAATAAAGCATGGTAGGAATGTGAACCTCACCACCACAAGAAGTGATTGCAGGAGGTGGTGGTATATTGGTAATGTCACTAGATTAATAATCCAGAAACCTAGGATAATGGTCTAAGGATATGGGTTCAGCAACTAGTGGAATTTAAATTGATTTCAGGAATTACAAAGCTGATGTCAATAATGGTAAAAATAACAACTCTCCTTGATTGGTGTAAAACCGTTTACTTCAGTAATATCCTTTTTATGAAAAGAAGTCTGCTGTCTTCACCTGATCTGGGTTATGTATGTAACTCCAGACCCACAGTATTGTGATTAGCTCCTAACTGCCTTCTGAAATGGTCTAACAAGGCACTCGGTTCAAGGATAATCAATATTGGCCGCAAATTCTGGCCTTTTTAGTGATGCCAAAATCCCTTGAAACAATTTTTAAAAAGTCAAGTACCAAAGATGTATTCAACATGAGGTTTATTAAACACGTAAGGAAAAGAAGGCTATGCTGATAAGATTGATTATGCTGATGAGATTGATCTGAAGAGGGGTGGGAGGAGGCTGATGTGGAGCATATACACCAGCATGAACCTGTTGGGCCAAATGGTCTGTTTCAATGCTGTAAATTCTAAGTAATTCCACGTAATCTGCCTTGGACCTTCTGATATTTGCAGGGAAAAGGTGACATGGTGACTTACTGGCTTGAAGGGAAACAAAGTTCATCATCAAGCACATCAGAAAATACACCAACAAACTCACTGTTGAACAAAGTGCAGCCAGAAAACATCAGCCCCATACCAGACTCCCAGAAAGAAGCATATAGTGTCATTCCTGGTGTTTTGACCAATGATCTTCAATTTAATTCCTGTTAGCCCAAAAACCTATGGTGTAAGACCAGCAAGTAGAAGTCTTTTACAACTTTCAGCATTTTAAGGGTTCAGTAGAGTTTTCTGAAGCAAATGATTCTTTCCTTTGTATGTTTGACAATTCTAAGTGTTAACTAAAGAAATAAACAGTTTGGCAATTTGTTAGATTCAATCAAGGAAGGAACTTGCACCATTGGAGGCCATGACATAAGGAAAGGTGATGACCTCATGAGATCTGAAATTCTTTATAGCCAACTAAATACTTTTTGAAATGTAGTCACTCTTGTAGAACACCACGTGCAGTTTGCACACAATCAACAATGTGATAATGAGCAGATATTCTGTTTTTAGTGATGTTAGCCAGGAATTTAGGGAAAACTCCTTTCTTTTATTCAATGAAAATATGCTCTGGGATATTTTGTCCTACCTGAGAGGCTCGAATCAGTTAAACATCTCATTTGAAAGTTGGCGTCCCAACAATGCTTTGGTGCTGCACCAAAGAATCAGCCCAGAATTTATGCTCTAGTATCACTAGGGAGATGTGAACTCTCAACCTCTGTTTCAGGAACAAGAGTGTATCCTCTGAGCCAAGGCTGATATTGTCAAATAAATCAATGTAGTAGTTTTCCAGCTTCAGAGGTTGAGCAGCAGTTGGTGTCAGTAGGGCACACCTGTAAGATTGAGAGTTTCATAGATGCATTTTTATGGATGTGGTCAGCTCACAGGTTAAGAGTATGGAGGGTGAGAGGCAATGGGTGACCAGCAGACTGCCCAGAAGAAACAGGCAGGTAGTACAGGGGTGCCCTGGGTGCATGACCCCATCCAACTAGTATTCAGTTTTGAATATTGATGAAAGTCATTGTTCATTTGGGAAGTGCAGCAGAACCAGGTCTGTGGCACTATGGCTGGTTTAGTTGTAGAAGTGAGCATGAATGGGGCTGTAAGAGCAATAGTCACAGGAATTTTGATAGCTAGTAAAACAAACCAGGCAGACACTCCTTTCTGCAGTCAAGGAGATGAATCTGGGATGTTATGTTGCCCCCATGGTGCCAAAGCCGAGGATGTGACTGATGGGATACAATGAGCAGGCAGTGTCTATGATTCACATCAATACCAATAGCACTTGTAGAAAGAGCGCTATGGTTCTGCAGTTGGAATTTATGGAGGTGGATAGGAAATTAGCAAACAGAATTTCAAAAGTAGCAAGTCTTCAGATTACTCCCAGTACCATGTCCAAGTAAGTACAGAAATAGAAGGATAAAAGATAAGCACCTAGAGAAATTATACCAGCAGGAGGACTTTAGATTCATAGATGTTGGGATCATCTTGGAGGGAGATGAGACCTCTACAGATCATTGGGTTGTTCATCAACAGAGCACTACCTTTGCAGGGTGATTTGCTAATCTGATTCAGGAGGATTTAAACTGACCTGGCAGTGTTGTAGATCAGAGAGGAATACTGAGACACATGTTATACCAGAAGAGACGGATAGCATTGGAGCTGGAAATAGTGAGTGATTACGTGAGTTCATAATAAGGGGGTAAATGATAAAGTATAATTCATGTACATGAATGTGTAGAGAATGGCAAATAAAAGTGGTGAGCAGAAGGTGCCAATAGCCACCTGGAAAATGATGTTGTAGTGATAATGGACACTTGGGTCAAAGAATGGCAGGGGTGGGCATTAAGTATTCCTGGATGCAATGATTTCCAGAAAGAGCAGAAAGGAAAAACAGTGGGAGAGGTGGCTGTATTAATTAAGGAGTTTATTGCAGTGCTGGAGAGAAAGGATGTCCTGAAATGGTCAAGGCAGCATCCATTTAACTAGAACCAAGTACAAAAATGGCAAAGACATTGGTGCAGTTGGAAGCTACCAACTTGAGGAAAAGATGTAGAGAAATAAATTTGTAAAGAAATTAGAGGTACAAAAATTAGAGTAGTTACAATTAAACTAACTAGCTGAATATAGGCTGGGATTGTACTAATGAGAAAGGCTAAGGGGAGCAGGAGTTCCTAGAGTGTATTTAGGAGAACTTTATGTCACAGCATGCACCTAATCCAGTGGGAAAGGAGATGCTGCTGGACCTGGTTCTTAGGAATGAGGTGGACCAAGTGGATCAAGTGTCAGTACGGGGAACATTTAAGGGCCAGAAACTATTGTATCAGAAAATTTAAATTGGCTATGGAAAAGCTTGAGGAGCAATCCGGAGGAAGAATAGTTAAGTGGGGCAAAGCTAATTGGAATGAGATAGGAATAGATCAGCGCCAAAAAAAATTGGCTCGAATAAAACAAAGAACAGATACAACAATCTAGCTTGGAAGAAGGGTCACTGGATCCAAAACATTAACTGCTGTCTCTCCACAGATGCTGCCAGACCTGCTGAGTTTCTCCACCAATTTCTGTTTGTTTCAAATTGGTATCACAGGTTGGCAAGCAAAACAGTAACTGAACATTGTGCTGCCTTTAAAGAAGAGATACTTCGACTGTATTCAAACTATGTTCGCAAGATAAGAAAAGGCAGGGCTAACAAATCCAGAGCTGCTCCTCAGATGCTACAAAATATAGTAAGCAAGTTGAAGCAGATAAAGTGCTTTTGACTGATGTCAATGAGTGATACAACCAAGAACCATCTAAATTTAGGAAGTTCAGTGAAGAATTGAAAAATCAAAATAAAAGAAGCAAAGAGAATGCAAGAACAGACTGGCAGCTAACAAGAAGGGGAATACAAAAGTTTTCTATGAGCATATGAAGAATAAAAGGAGTGAGATCAATTAGGTATCAAAGAAGAGATTTACACATGGAGGTAAGGGACATGGCTGAGGTATGAAATGAATACTTTACATCTGTCTCTACTAAGGAAGATAATACTGTGCAGGTCATAGTGAAATAAGATATAGGTCAGACATCAGAACTTAAACCACAATTTTTCTTTATGCCTCATGACATAATTGAAGATCCCTTTTTGATTATTACCATGTAATTCACTGGTCAGTGTTCTCTAGGACATATAAAGAAACATATCAGAATTTTGTACTCTGAGGAGCACAATATAAAGCATGGAGGGAGGAAATGTATTTTGTGTATTAAAACATAGGAAATAGGAGCGGGAGCGGACCATACAGCCCCTTGAGCTTCCAGACCAGTTAGTAAGATCATGGCTGAACTTTTCCCCCACTGTTCTTCCCTACACTATGATCATTTGGTTTTTGTAGAGCCTGAGTATTGCTGAAAAAAAACAATTTGCAAGAATACAAATTCAAGGGGAAAACCAGCATTTCTACTGCATGAAAGGAAACTGCTGATTAGATTGGCAAGCGGACTTTAATTAGTAGGGGTGTTGTCACAGAATGCACCAATTACTGATTGGCAGTTAACTTCCAGTCTTTGTTTCAATATTAAACTCGGCTGGCTAAACTCTGGTCAGGGCATTGCCCTGAAAAGTGAATCAGAAAACGGCTGTCACCTATTTTGCTGACAAGAAACAGATGCAGTGAGCGTGCATGTTCTTTTTGTCTGCAAAGAATACAAGCTTGTATAATAATCTTTGTAGCTTCCAGCATGGCAAGTATGCCATACTGCAAGCCTGACTAGCAATCCTAAATTGGTTGTCAGTTTAATTCTTTGTGCACTCAAGATTATCTCGTAATTGTTGACCACTTGCAGAACAGCATCCGATGTTGGACACTGTTGCAGGTTTTGCAAACATGAGCTATTTGCAAATGGTCAGTATCTTGCTTATTGCAGCCAAACAGATATGTTGCTTGATCTTATCTACTGGTCTTTGGGATTCAGGGGCTACATACCTGGCATCGCATTGCTACTATAAGTCATATGCCACATTATTTGGTCATGTAATATACCGAACATCTTTTTGGCTTGACAAAAGGGTCCAGATAGTAACAAAAATAACTCATCTTGCAGTAGCATATTGGCAGCACGAAACAGCTAGCTTCACCTGCTCAAACGTTTGAAATATCTTACCCTACTCTGAGAGAGACTGGGCACTTTTAAGGACCAAACCTTAGGGCCTTTCATGAGTTTGCATGATATGCTTCAAGAGATCATTTGATATAGCCATTATCCTGCAGGATGATTTTGATACATCCCAATTTCATAAGAGTCCCTGCAGTTCTGAAAGAGGCCATTTGGCCCGTTGAGTCTTCACTAGCCCTCCAAAGAATATCCCACCCAGATAGAGGCCTCCCATCCTATCCACACAACCCCATATTTACTATGGCATAATCCACCTAACCTGCACATCTTTGGACACCGTTGGCAATTTAGCATGGCTGATCCCTGGGCACTACAGTGCAATGTAGCGTAACCAATCCACCTAACCTGCACACCTTTGGACTGTGGGAGGAAACCCACACAGAGACAGGGACACCATGCAAGCTCCACACAGACAGTCACCCAAGGGTGGAATCAAACCTGGTTACGCAGCAGTGGTAACCACTGAGCCACCGTGCTGCCATTGCTGCGTTCAGTGAACAAATGGCTCAGGCCTGGTCTACAGATTCACTGATAAGGACAAGTCTATACTATACAGATCTGTAGGAATCCCAGTGTGTATTCTGTCCAATGAAGGTAGGTTTGCAGTAGACAATCATAGAGGACCTACTGGCTATTTTCTCAACTGGGACATCAAGAAAAGGGAGTTTATTTGACTTTTCCATTCAAAAAGTGGATTTTAATTCAAGATGGATCCTATTTATGCACATAAGGAAATTCTGACATGCAGCTGTGGATTCAAATGTAGCAAATGTATCATCAACGTATCGAGGTATGCAAGAAGTAGGAGGTGTTTACGATGATTAGAATGATTTTATGGTGTACTTAGGGAGAAACTATTTCTTGTGGTAGGGGGTGTCCAAAGGGTGGATCTAACCTTAAAATTGAAGCAAGAAAATTCAACTGTGATGTCAGGAAGAACTTCTTCACACAAAAGATTGTGGAAATCTCGAATTCTCTCCCCATGAAGTAGGGTGGCATGATGGCTCAGTGGC